AGGACCATCTGTACAGAGGCCTGCCATTGTCCGCCAGCGCCCTGCTCTTCGACATGGCCGAAATTGTCCTTGGAAGCAGCTGTAATTGTCTTCCCTTTCTGTCTCTGTTGGCTGGGCAGGTCACCAAAGCGCCATCACGGATTACTTCAGGAGTCGATCCCGCATCATAAAATGCTCCGATAACATGGCAGAAAGCCACCCCGTCAAAGCTGAGGAAGCTCTGGAGAACTTGACTCTTGATCTGGCGTCCGACTCCGATGACTCCTGCAGTCTTCTTGGAGGTGATGGGGACACGTTGGTGGCCCCCAAGAAACGATTACGTGTCTCCCAGGGACCTAGCCACTCCTGCGGAAGCGCTGGCCGAGAGGTCCAAGAACACAAGCCGTGGTTGGGGAGGCCTCCTGAGCAGAGCTCGGGTGGTGGGACTGTCAAGCGGGAAGTTCAAGAGGTCGAGGTGGACCCTCTTCCCGATGCCCACTTTGGGCTCTTGGGAACTCAGTCTGGGAATGATGTACCTCAGGGAACCTTGGAAGAACTGCCAGATGAAGTCCTTCAAGAGATCTTTGCCCTGGTGCCCATAGTTGATCTTCTCCAGAACCTCTGTCTGGTGTGTCAACGTTGGAAACGTATCATCTCTGACATGAAGGTAAGTGAGGCCTTTATCCCAGGAGTGGTGGTACAGGCATCGCCTCCCTTTGGTGTGGTTTCTTCCATGGTTTAACTCTCATGGTCAGGATTCTGTCCTTCTGCTTGGCGTCCTTTTCCGTGGGGCAAATATCTTTTGAGATGCTAAGGAGAAGACATCTCTGAAGTCACCCCGGGCAGGTAGCAGGTTATGCTCACCATTGACTTTCTCAAAGTCTTGGGATGCCAACTTTAAGGACAAACAGAGAGAGGGCATAGAAGAGAATATTATAGCTCAGGGTTGACTTGTCGGGTCCCTGGTGCTGTCTGAGCTTGGGGGTTTAGTTGCAGACGTTTCATGGCCCAGCTAGGGAACATCATCAGTGTTATACTAGGGTCTTTTTCAAACTTGGCCACTTTAACATGGGTGCATTTTCGTTCCCAGAATTCTGGGAAGTGAATAACCACAATTTCTTCTCCTCCTCCCCCTCCTCCTCCTCCTCCTCCTCCTCCTCCTCCTCCTCCTCCTCCTCCCTCTTCTACTACTTCTTTCTCCTCCTTCTCCTCCTCCCTCTTCTACTACTTCTTTCTCCTCCTCCTCTTCCTCCCTTTCCACTTCTACTTCTACTTCCTTCTTCTCCTCCTCGCTCCTCCCTCTTCTACTTCTACTTCTTTCTCCTCCTCCCTCTTCTACTACTTCTCCTCCCTCCTCCCTCTTCTACTTCTACTTCTTTCTCCTCCTCCCTCTTCTACTACTACTTTCCCCTTCTCCTCTCCCTCCTCCTACGTCTACTTCCTTCTCCTCCTCCCTCCTCCCTCTTCTACTTCTTTCTCCTCCTCCTCCTCCTCCCTCTTCTACTACTTCTTTCTCCTCCTCCTCCTCCTCCTCCTCCCTCTTCTACTTCTACTTCCTCCTCCTCCTCCTCCTCCCTCTTCTACTTCTACTTCCTCCTCCTCCTCCTCCTCCTCCCTCTTCTACTACCTCTTTCTCCTCCTCCCTCCTCCCTCCTCCTCCCTGTAAAATCCCAATCCCTTCTAGCACTAATGAGTTGAAGATACTAACTAGTTTTGGTCATGAAACATGCTGGTTGGGAAATTCTGGGAGTTGAAGCCCATGAGTTTTGAAAAGTGTTCAGGGTTTAAGAATGACTGATCTAAGGTATTTGCTAACAAGGCTTTGGTGAATGATTAACCCAGCGGTGCAACTGTTGAATTCTGGGGCGGTGGACCATGTTCTGAATTGTAGTACGCTTCCTGTCATCCAAGTCGAATCAAAGGTGATTTTTTTCCTGCTTTTTTTGTGGCAATTTAGGTTTCGGCCTTGCTTTTTATAAATCAAAAACTTTTAATTCTTAATTTAATGGATCCCGTACCAGGGATGCTTTGGATAGATTGGTTCCCTAAAGTGAAAAATGTTTGCCATCAGAAGGGAATGACTCGATTCAAAGCACGTAAAAAACAATAAAGGCTGGATTAAAAAACAAACAAACCCCAAATCATGATATCTGATGTTTTATTCTGGCCTTTCAGTTCATTCCTTGGAAGAAACTCTACTATCAGTATGTGAAAGCCGTCGACCCAGCCTTGCTGACTGTTCGAATCGTTCTGCAACGGTACAGCTTAACCCAGAAGCACCCCCAGTGCATGCTGGGATTTATCCGGTGAGTGGTCTCCACGAGGTCACAGTGGCAAATCATCTCCTTGGCTTTAGTTATAATGAGGTATCCTGGTAGGGGCGGTCCTTGAGTTATGACCACAGTTGGGAGCACCCCAAGGGCAGAGATGGAAAAACGGATGGAGAGATTCAAACTAGAAATAAGGAGAATTTTTCTGACGGTGAGAACGATCAACAATCAACGGAACAGAAGTTGCCTTCAGAAGTTGTGGGGGCTTCATCCCTGGAGGCTTTCAAGGAGAGACTGGGCAGCCATCTGTCAGAAATGATCTACTAGGTCCCTTCCAACTCTTCCCTTCTCTTCTACTCTACTCTACTCTATATACTCTACTCTACTCTACTCTACTCTACTCTACTCTGTTCTATTCTGTTCTATTTTATTCTATTCTATATTCTATTCTATTCTTACTCCTATTCCTATTCCTATTTTTATCATGATTCTATTCTATCATGATTCTATTCTACTCTACTCTACTCTATTCTATATTCTATTCTATTCTATTCTACTCTATATTCTATTTTATTTTATTTTATTCTATATTATTCTATTCCCTATTTTCTATTCTATTCTACTCTACTCTATATTATTCTATTTTATTTTATTTTATTCTATATTCTGTTCTATTCTATTCTTCTATTCCTATTTTTATCATTTCTATTCTATTCTATCATGATTCTATTCTATTCTATATTATTCTATTCTATTTTATTTTATTCTATTCTATACTATTCTATTTTCTATTCTATTCTATTCTATCATGATTCTATTCTATTCTACTCTACTCTATTCTATATTCTATTCTATTCTATTCAACTCTATATTCTATTTTATTTTATTTTATTCTATATTATTCTATTCCCTATTTTCTATTCTATTCTACTCTACTCTATATTATTCTATTTTATTTTATTTTATTCTATATTCTGTTCTATTCTATTCTTCTATTCCTATTTTTATCATTTCTATTCTATTCTATCATGATTCTATTCTATTCTATTCTATATTATTCTATTCTATTCTACTCTATATTCTATTCTATTTTATTTTATTCTATTCTATACTATTCTATTTTCTATTCTATTCTATCATGATTCTATTCTATTCTACTCTACTCTATTCTATATTCTATTCTATTCTATTCTATTCAACTCTATATTCTATTTTATTTTATTTTATTCTATATTATTCTATTCCCTATTTTCTATTCTATTCTACTCTACTCTATATTATTCTATTTTATTTTATTTTATTCTATATTCTATTCTATTCTATTCTATTCTATTCTATTCTTCTATTCCTATTCCTATTTTTATCATTTCTATTCATTCTATCATGATTCTATCATGATTCTATCATGATTCTATTCTATTCTATTCTATTCTATTCTATTCTATTCTATTCTATTCTATATTATTCTAGTCTATTCTACTCTATATTCTATTTTATTTTATTCTATTCTATACTATTCTATTCCCTACTTTCTATTCTATTCTATTCTATTCTATTCTATCATGATTCTATTCTATTCTACTCTATTCTATTTTATATTATTCTATTCCCTATTTTCTACTCTACTCTACTCTGCTCTGCTCTGCTCTGCTCTACTCTACTCTGCATTATATTCTCCTATTATATTTTTATTCCTATTTCTATTTCTATTCCTTGCTAAGCCAGGTGGTTGTTAAGTGTGCCTGATTTTATGATCCTTTTTGCCATGGCCGTTAAGCAGATCACTGCAGTCGTTAAGGGAACCATTTGGGTTTTTAAGCGAATCCGACTTCCCCCATTNGCTGGTTGCCAGGAGCCCAAATTTTGATCCCGTGACCCTGTGGGTGCTGCAGCGGTTGTAAGTGCGAGGATGGGTCATATGTCTGAGGACCGTTCTCCATCTCAAACTGGGGAATTAGTCTGTATCCACAGACATAAGGCCGTCACCTGTCCCTGTTTCTCTTCCCAATCCAGGTGTGTGGCTGCTGTTCGGAGCTGCCGCTGCCGAGATCCTACCGCTATCCTCGCGTGTCTGGAACGCCACTCGCTCTTTCCCAAGGCACAAATCTGCATCGCCAAGAATCTTCCGGATTTGGAGAGTTGCAAAGAGAAAGTATGTCTCGGCAGGCTTAAATATTTATCTGGAATTGATCTTTGGGCGCGTTTCGATGGTGTTTCCCCTGGGAGGTGGGTTGTCCTGCTCAGAATTTGGATTGGATGGTCACTCCAAAGGCAGTGGATTCCAAGACAGAGAGTTCTACCAAGCATTCATTTAGCGATCATTTAGTGCAGGGGTAGGCAACCTTGGCTCTTTTATGACTGGTGGACTTCAACTCCCAGAATTCCTGAGCCAGCCATGCTGAGGGGAAAGGGAGAGGTTTCCAAGCTGAGCCATGCTGGCTCAGGAATTCTGGGAGTTGAAGTCCAGGAGTCATGAGGGGGCCATAGTTTCCTCATGCTGGCTCAGGAATTCTGGGAGTTGAAGTCCACAAGTCATGAGGGGGGCCATAGTTTCCTCATGCTGGCTTAGGAATTCTGGGAGTTGAAGTCCACCAGTCATGAGGGGGGCCATAGTTTCCTCATGCTGGCTCAGGAATTCTGGGAGTTGAAGTCCACCAGTCATGAGGGGGCCATAGTTCCCTCATGCTGGCTCAGGAATTCTGGGAGTTGAAGTCCACGAGTCTTAAAGTTGCCAAGGTTGCCTACGCCTGGTCTAGGAGGCTCACCGCTTAGAACAGAAGGACTTAGGACAGGGGTAGGCCACCTCGGCTTTTTATGACTTCAACTCCCAGAATTCCTGAGCCAGCCACGCTGAGGGGAAAGGGAGAGGTTTCTAAGCTGAGCCAAGCTGGCTCAGGAATTCTGGGAGTTGAAGTCCACGAGTCATAAAAGAGCTAAAGTTGCCTACCTCTGGTCTAGGAGGCTCAGTTTTCCACTTGAAACTATGGTGAAGTCTGTCCCGTGGGTGGGGATGTTAAAGAGTGAACCCTTTCCCCACTAGGCTACACTATCAGTGCCTAGTTGGGTCATAAAATGTCTGCAAGGGAACAACCAAGATCAGAGAGCATGAAAGACCCCACGGTCCTCCTCGTCCTTGTCCTCGTCCTCCTCCTCCTTGCTTGGATGATGTTACTTAGCTGGGTAATGAAATGTCTGCAAGAAAACAGCTCAGAGAGCACCAGTGACCCCACAGTTTTCCTCCTCCTCCTCCTCCTCCTCCTCCTCCTCCTCCTCCTCCTCCTCCTCCTCCTCCTCTTTCTTCCCCGGCAAGAAAACCATCAAATTCAGAGAGCACTGAGGACACCACAGTCCTTGAATAGTTATAAGTTGAGGACTTCTTGTACTATTCACCCTGCTCTCCTGTAGGTGTCAGCCAGGACGGATAATACAACTTGTGAGACTCAACAGGTTGCCCCCACCCCGATAATGATCCCACCCATGTTCTTCCAGGCGGCCTACGTTCGGGCAGTGATGGCGGCCCTTGTGCTCTTCGCTGGAGGTGTTGGCGATATTCGGGAGCTGGTGGGCTGCCTCCAAAGGCCCCCCTCTCCCATGTCGCTGATGGACATCAATGAAATGTTGTACTGCATGGCCACCCTCCTTTACGCCATGCGAGAGAATGGGGTCCAGATCAGCAACAGGTCAGTTTGCAAAGGGTCAGGAGAGACACTTAGGACGGAAACCTGTCCTTTATGGCAGTAGTAAATAGGAATACATCTTTGGTAGGGCTGGGCACGTTTTGCAAAACGTTCAGAATCTAGCATGAGAGCCGGTTTGGTCTAGTGGGTAAGGCACCGGGCTAGAAAGCAGGAAACGGTGAGTTCTAGTTCCACCTTAGGAATGAAAACCGGCTGGGTGACTTTTGACCAGTCACCAGGAGACGGTGAATTCTAGTCTGGCCTTAGACTAGAAAGCCAGCTGGGTGACTCTGGGCCAATCACCAGGAGATGGTGAATTTAAGTCCCGCCCTAGGCATGAAAGCCTACTGGGTGCCTCTTGGTCAATCACCAGGAGAATGTGAGTTCTAGTTCCACCTTAGCCAGGAAAGCCAGTTGGGTGCCTCTTGGCCAATCACCAGGAGATGTGAGTTCTAGTCCGGCCTTAGGCATGAAAGCCAGCTGGGTGACTTTGGACCAATCACCAGGAGATGGTGAGTTCTAGTCCCACCTTAGACTAGAAAGCCAGCTGGGTGAGTTTGGGCCAATCACCAGGAGATGGTGAGCTCTAGTTTGGCCTTGGGCATGGAAACCAGCTGGGTGACTTTGGGCCAGTCACCGGGAGATGGTGAATTCTAGTCCCACCTTAGGCATGAAAACTGGCTGGGTGAGTTTGGGCCAATCACCAGGAGACGGTGAGTTCTAGTTCTGCCTTGGGCATGACAGCCAGCTGGGTGACTGTGGACCAATCAGCCAGAGACAGTGAGTTCTAGTCCCATCTTCACTATGAAAGCTGGCTGGGTGACTTTCGCCCACAGGAGATGGTGAGTTCTAGTCCCACCTTAGGATGAAACCAGCTGGATGACTCTGGACCAATCACCAGTGGTCAGTGAGTGCTAGGCCTGTCTTAGGCATGAAAGCCATCTGGGTGACTTTGGGCTAGTCTCTCTCTCTCTCTTAGCCCAACCCACCTCACAGGGTTGGTGTTGTGGGGAAAGTGAGGAAGATATATTGGATATATTCGTCCCCTTGAGTTGTGTGTAAAAATAATTTATTTATTTATTTATTTATTTATTTATTTATTTATTTATTTATTTATTTATTTATTGGATTTTTACCCCGCCCTTCTCCTTGCGGACTCAGGGCGGCTGACAGCCTGATAAAAACAACTACAGAAATACCCCAAAAACTATCATTAAAACAAAGTTAAAATAAAATATTAAATATTTGGCCTTATTAATTATTAAAATTGCTTTTAAAACCCCTCTAAAAATTTCCCCTTAGG